GACTGTGTGTCATTTGTTAGTGCTGACAGAAGCCAGAAAGGAAAAGGTGGTTGGAGAAGTAGTCACGGTGTCTGTGTAAACTGAAGCCAACATCCTACAGGGGTGACTAGATGATTAAAGCATTACTTTAGAGGACGAAAGTCTCAAGAAAAAAAACCCAAACATTTGCATTCCCAAACATGTATTTGCAATGTATCGCAATGTCTAGAAGCTTCTCTTCTCAAAACAAACACAGACACATTATGGCTTCAAACCTTTAATCTACGTGGAAACTCCCACAGCTCTAAACAAGAACAAACTTGTGTCAAGAAAATGCTCCTACTAAAAGGATTTCTTATTACTTTACAAGATGAGAACAATGTATGAAATGGAGTTTCACTGCATTGTTAACGCTGCTCATTGTTGAGGTGTCAGTGAAGGGAGTGCTGTCATTTGCTGACCAGAGTTGACCAGAGTCTTGTGCAAATGTTGTCAGAACAGAACAGAACATCACAGCAGCAAAGGGAAGGTGACCAGTGCCCTACCAGTGTCCTGGTGTCTTTTATTGGGAGAGGCAGAGGGAGCCTGGGGGGGTTGGGGTTGGGAGAGGCATTATGGGATGAGAATTGGTCTGGCCTTTTTTTTTTGTTTCCTCTCTTTTATCTTTCCTGTCATTATGTCAGCTCTGCAGTATTTAATGACTGCTCATCTCTTCAGGCAGTTTCAGGTTGCACTGCTGTAGGGGGAGGGTGCCAGTGGATATTTGATGTCATTGTCTTCAAGAGGCCAGAGACAAGCCTGACAGATGCCACAAATACCGAACTCCCCCTGTAATAATGGGGGAGGCACATTTATTACGGTCTCAGAGCGGTGACAGAATGGAGATTAGATGACTACCTAAGGAGACGCATGTACGGAAAACCATTTACAATAACATTTACATTTCATGCAGCCAGCCCCATTGGCTGGATTCAGAGCCCCCAGTGTCTACATTTGACCACCGTGACAGCAGAGGCCCTGGCCTGGCTGTTGACTCTCACGTGTGTTTAAAACAAAACAAGACTCTGATTTTGCTACTGCGTTTTAACACTTTTTTCAAATAGCAAATGTTCTGCTCGTAGCAGCATTTAACTGACAACCCTTTTAGTCTTCCAATTTGACATGCCGTACTCTGTTTTGAATGTATGTAAGTAGTGAGGGCCATACAGGTCAAATTGGGGGGTGTTGGACAGACATGGGTAACCAGTGTTTTTGTGTCGTTGATGTATGTGACGTGACCTCAGCCTTGTCTTAAGCAGCAGAGTAAATAATTGTCAAACAAGGGACTGGACAAAGCCATCACGTGGAGGGAGAGTTGGGGCGGGCAACTGGCTGGCCCCAGCGCTCTGGCCTCCACCATAGTGGGGCCGAGGCTGTATGACCCCTGTAATCCACCCTATACCCCTCCTGCTCGCATAGAACCACGTGTCCATCGACCATCGCTCTTGTGGTCGTTACTCTATGACTGATAGACATTTAATCAGGGCTGCGGAGCTGCACACGGTGCCTTACATACACTAGTAGTGAATCATTAAGTTGCACCAACTGACTTTTGTAACTAAGGGATATACTGTGGTATCTACAGGTGGTGTTTGAATACCGGGGCCCTTTTGTTCACAAGTTTTTATGTGTACAAGCTGTTTCTGCCTTTTGACAAATGAGACAAAATGGAGTCAGTGAACAGAGCATGTCCACATTTGCATTGCTGTGATCACAAAGGCAGAGTGTTGACAAGTCTCCAAGACTAGAATCAGCCTTACTCCAACAACATTACCAACACTTGTCTAACACAATTTGGAGACCACCAGAAGTATTTCACAATACACTTTTTATCAAGTGCTAATTATTACATATATGTATATGAATATTTTTTATATCCATAAACTGAAGGAAATGGAATTACCAATCTATAAAACTATATGCTCGTACTTTTAAAAACTAGAATTCTGGGTTTGTGCTGCAACATCCTGAGTTCATGGTTTAGAGCAATACTGTTGTCTTATACTATACTTTGTTTCAAAGTATAGTATAAGGTATAATCATTTACATAATTTTCTGATGTTATAAGTGCAGGTGGCAATAACGGCTATATTTTTGATATATTGTGATATAAAATAATTGTANNNCTGGTGTGTACGGAACTTTAACGTCAATCACACCGCAACATTTCAAACTCCGTGTCTGGGAATCTCTTACACAAGAGCCCTGCCAACACTCGAGCCCGTCTCTGCTGCTCACACACTGGAGGCCGACGGTTATGCCAGTGCTGTTGCATAATTTAGCTGTCGTCCAAGCAACACACCAGTCAGGAAGTGGGGAACTGCACAACTGAAGAGCAGAGATCAATAGTCAGTGTGAGTGTGTGTGTGAGCTTTTAGAGACAGGAACATTTGCCTACTTTATGGTTCATTTATCATAAATGAGGAGCGTGTTGCATTTGGCAAATTGATCTTTTATTGTCATTCTGACGCTGGAATGTGAACGAATCGAACTTGTTGCGATGGCTCACTATCACGGTCCTCTAGGAATTGATAGGTGTGACGAAAATGGGCTAAAGTTCACCCTCTGTCATTGATGAGGCGTGTGATCTGGTTTTTGGTTTTCTGAATATTTTGTTGTATTTCCACATTCCTGACCTGATTTGTCGTATGCAGTAAGTATAGCAGTTAGTACGTCTCTCGTTGACTGAACTTCCTGTTAGGCTGATGCAATTAGGCTGGATCTCCTAATGCCTGTTTGTGCAAACTGTCAACAAATGAGAATGATGTTGTGCATGAAAACAGGTTGTGGTTCTTGTTTTAAACCAGAAAAGTCACAGTATTATGTTAGACCTGTACGGTACATGACAAATGTTATGTTTTTGTATCTGTTTTTTTCACTGTGATGAAATAAAAACCTTAGCAGCTCAGATGTACTGTGTACATGCTGTACTCACTCATTAGTAGAGTTGTCACATTTCACATGTCACAGTTTTGTTCAAAGCACGACAGAGAGAAGTTAAAAACAAATGAAGATTTTTTTCATGTCATTTTAGGGCAAGAATACACACTGTAAAAAGAGGATAAACGGCCAGAGGCAGGAAAACAGTTTGATAATTTTTTCATGTAATTTTAGGGCAAGAATACACACTGTAAATCAATTCTGCGTTGTGTATAAACTAAAATTTCGGGGAAAGGGGTTTTGAGAAAA